ATATACACAACCCGTTCCTCGGTGAATGTGTAGTGAGCCGTGGCAAGTAGATACTGGATACTGGATAATTGATACTGGATCTGGTGTTATCTTGTGATTCAATGATTCCTGATTATATTATTATTTTTTTTACATATTTTTACTCGTTTTCTTTCAATCTTCATAAGAATTAGCACATTCCGTCCTACTAAAGGCGGGCATCCTTCCTCTTAGCCTATTAATCTTAAGTTTTAAGTCTTCTCATTTCTTTTTTTTTCTTTTTTCTTTATATTCTGAAGTTTTTTACAGGTATATGTATTTTTTAAATATTTTTAAAAAGTAAAACGAACTGAATGGGAGGGGAGAAGCATGACCTTTTTGACGCTAGTCCCCTCGTTCTCGCATATTCATTTGCTGAGGAGAGAATAAATACAGCCCAAGAGGCCGGGTCAATGCAGAGCATCTCTCGGCCGTGTGACCCGCCACTTGGATATAGGGAGATGTTTCTTTTTTATTCTTTTTGTGGTTTCGGTTGCAAGGGCAATGGCTGTTTTTAATTATTTTTTTTTCTTAAGGCGATGTTTTTTTTTTATGAAGTCGTTTTATGATTTCTTGTTTTATTCTCGTGTTTTATTTCATGTTCATTTGTGTCATTTTTAAAGTGTACTTATATTGCTACTTTTTATGTTCTGTGGTTAATGGAATCTTTATAAAATAAATGTAAGATAAACTTCTACGTATTTATTGTTTAAGGTTTCCCTAAAAAAATAATAATAATAATAAAAAAGATAAAATAGATTTAATGAAACATGAAGATCTAAGTTCATTTAAAATAATAATCTAATTTAAAAGAAGATGAATGAGATGAGAAATGAGACTGAGATGAAGGCAGACGGTATTTTCTATGATATGTTAATTTCCATGATAAGAATATAAATAATGAAAAAGCTATGGAGATGGAAGGACGTGGAGGATTCAAATTCTTGAAGGTTGATAAGAAGCCCTTAGTGAGAGTGTCTAATTGATTTCTTCTACAATGCTAGACTTTTATTTGCATATTCAAAACCCGTAAATCTGCTGAGAAAAGGAACGGCGATCCTCACATGGTGGTTCTGTGAGGGCCAGCGATGGCATAGTTACCCCTCTCGTCGTTTTCGTGTTGGCGACGGGCGCCACCTGTCGGGAATTTTTGTATTTATTAATTTATTGCAGCCATTTTGAAGCACTATATCTGAATATTTGCATTTCCAATATTGTCCAAGAAGCTCCCATGGGATACGTAACAATAACGTTAATAATAAAAAAGTGGCCAGTTGTCAGTGGCGAGAACTGTGAGGACCCTTTCCTTGCGATGATGTATCGGCGATACATGTATTGGTATCGGTATCGCCTCCGACAAATCCGTGTGGCGAATGGCGATGCCCGTCACTGAGCAGAGCCGAGTCTTGGGACGTCGTGTATGGCGAGCACGTGAAGGCAGACGTCCCTGTTGGCATTGGGATTCTGGGGTTCCGGTGGAAGTCCTTGACGAGCGACCACAAGGGGTGAGTTGATGGGGTTGAGAGGCTTCCTGCAAGAAGCCGGAGACTCATTCGTCCTGTCGACATCGCCTCATTTCCCTCGAGTTGTATTTGCGTATATCTATCTATATATGTACGTATATATATATATATATATATATATATATATATATATATATATATATATATATATATATATATATATACACACACACACACACACACACACACACACACACACACACACACACACACACACACACACACACACACACACACACACACACACACACACACACCACACACACACATTTAAATGCACACACACACACACATATATATAAATGCACACACATTATGGATTATATATGTATATATATGCATATATACATATGCTTATATACATACATATATATACATATATATATATATATATATATATATATATATATATATATATATATGCATATATACATATGCTTATATACATACATACATATATATATATATATATATATATATATATATATATATATATATATATATATATATATATATATACATATGCTTATATACATATATATATATATATATATATATATATATATATATATATATATATATATATTGTCAACCTAGGCCCTAGGAGTTGCCTTCCTTCCTGGCATCACACCTACCATGCCTGAGCCTTGTTTGCCCAAGGTACTTTCTTCCCCTCGAGCAAGTCTGGCGAACACATCCCCTTTGTCACGGCCAGAAGAACTGACACCCCAAAATACAGATGATTTCGAAGAGCCGAAACCCAGTTCAGGCTCAAGAGCATCAAAAAGGCGACCACCAAAGCAGACCACGTCATAGCTGCCTTACCTGAGAAGATTTTCCCCCAAATAGTCCCCTGGTTAGATACCTAGCCGGACAAAATTGAGTATGACACACTGAAGCAGGAGCTGCTGAAGGAGTTTTCTCTTTCTCCATCTGAAAGGGCGCGACAGATCCTCAACATCCCCAACCCACAGCTTGGAGATCAGACTCCTAAACAAGTCTGGCAGGAAATCACCACCCTATGCCGCCTCCCCACCAAAGACGCAGAAGGAAAGTTCCACGAAGTGGACCTTAAAAATGAAATTTGGCTCCGCTCTCTCCCCGGGAACATCAGGGAGAAACTCCACGACTCGAACGAGACGACCATCGAAGCCCTCCTCACCAGAGCCATCGCACTGATGGAAGCTCATCGGCAAGGCCGCCCTCAGTCAGCAGCCCCCGTTTTCCCGTCGGCAGGTACCGACAACAACGCGGCCACAATCGCAATCAACGCAGCCGAGGGACCAACACGAACCGGAGGCCCTTCGCCCGATATCTTACTGCAGATGGTATCTGCTCGTACCACAAGCGGTTCGGCAACGCGGCCTACCATTGCCTCAACGGATGTAGGTGGAAGCCTCGAAGACGTCCACAACAACAACATGGAAGGTGGCCACTACGCAACACGGCCACAACACTGAACCACGCAATCAACAGCCCCCGACGCCCAGCTCTGCCTCACTCCAGACGCCAGCATAACCAGCCCCTCGTCGTGCCCAGAGATTTTTTCCACAACAACGGCCCGAGCGACACTCAGCGAGAGGACCTCTGCCTGGGAGCCCGGCAATTCACCGCCAGTAGACCTACCCGTCGCTCTCATCACCCACCCTACACCCCAGCAGGATGGCCGAGTTCGCCTTTACACCATGATGACGGCACCTACACGAGATCCGGACGACATTCTCGTCCGCGCAGGATCCTCACTCTGAAGTCCTTTCTTCCTCAATAGGGGGGAAGCATTGTGGCGGACGCCACAATGGCATGTTTTTGGTAATCATATTTAAGAACCTATTTTAGGCATCCCTTAGGTTTCAAAATATCTATTATTTTTAATATGTATTTCATGAAACTGAGACTCGTACTAATGTTTTCATAATGTTAATTATCTTCTGCCATTTTTTTCTTAAATCTCTGCACTGATTTGTCCCTAATTGTTTAAAGTGATCTGTAAATAATATAAACTTCTCGGATGCTTCTGAAGACCATCTTTTCCTTCTCTTCATCCCAGACGTACCTACATGATTAAAGACAAGGCATTAAAAACATTCATATTATTAATCAATTCTGTATGCTCCCTAATGTTCTCAATATTGAAAACTAACACTAGCATTATATTAGATAAGAAAGTTCGTACCTCCATTTTCTGTGCACATTTCTTATTATCTGTTTCAAATATGATTTGTTCGGAATCTTATGTTAATGGACTGTTTCTTTAAATTTCTATCAATTCTTGTGATGTTCCTGGTCTGTGATATAACGATGGTTCTGCCCACTGTTGTTGATGTGAAGATGCTGGTCTCGTATTTCTGGGCGTGTGGGAATAGGGTAGGAGCTGAAAAAATCTGTGGTACTTTGAAACATTTATGTGCAATGTTGCTCTTCACACATAACTGTTGCATGTTGTGTAAGGTAGTGTTTGGAGCAAGTCATGCACCCATACCTGTAAATTAGCAACAAAATCATCCAAAAGATATCTATTCAACACTCACCCTTCATGTCCGTACGTAGATGATATAGAAGACAATATTAATGATATTTACCTAAAGAGTTACAGTCCGGTATAAAATTACTTGGATAAATGAACCTTGCAATTTGCATTCAGACACTGAACGGTTAAAAGATGTTTCTGACAACTGATATTCATTTTTTTTTTTATATAGATTGGAGAAAGGCGATTGTTATAAAAAGTTGTAGTCAGTCACTCAAGATGCAGTTTGATCTTCATATGATAATTACGAGGCACAAGTAGGCCTACTTATGGGGGAAACATGATTATTTATGAAATATTACTTTGGTTTTTATGTTCATTATCATAAGTTATTTCCTTTATCAGAATATTTGATCAGTTGTGTAAATATGTACAATTTCATTTTCAGAATAAATATTTAGTGTGAAAATTCTTAGACGATCTGTGTTATTGCCAAAAATAACTGAATGGCAACTCAAGTGATGGCGCCAGTGAATATCGAGCAAAATCCTGTAAGTAATGCGGCGTCGGCGCAATAGATGGCATTAGTGAGCATCTCGTGACGTCATCTCATACCGTCTGTTTGTTTACATAGAAGCGCGAAAATTGGAATGGCAGTTCCGACAATGCCAGGAAGGTCTTATCCTTGTTCTGTTTGTAAAAAGCAAAAAGAAAAGAATAAACAACTTATATTTCATATTTTTTTCCAAGGAAAAAGAAAGGTTTGCAATATTTATGCTTTTTTAGATATAAATTGGATCACAAGAATTCATTGTGATTTTTTAAGGCGTCGTCATGACGCCCGTCTAAAAAAGTAGAGGCCAAAAGTCTACTTAATATTGTATTGCAAGCATTAATCTACAATTTGACATAAGCTGATGATAGATTTGACATCAATAGAGTGAAAAAAATGTGTCAGGTTGATTTTGAGCTAGATTATAGTTATCACCCAA